CTGAAAAGAAACTCTCTGCAGAATAAGACCTTTTAAAAGTAAACAACTGAAACCATGAAGCTTCATCACTTTTAAATCCTGTTTTCTCATTAGAACTAAAACTCCTTGCCAGTTGGAAGTGATAAGGGTCTAAGAAAGTATTTTATTCTGCTACTACTTTAATTTTTATTTGTCAGCTTGCCAAGGCTTACCTCTTGCCACAGCCGTGGGCCAGAGAACAGATAGGACTTGGCAATGATTACTGTAGTAATTCCTCTTGTCAAGACATCTTGAAAAAATCTAGTGCCAGACCAATTTGCCAGGGAGCACTCCATGCCCTTTTCTTGATTTCCTTTGTTTAAATTTTTCCATTATTTTCATCCTAGGAAAATAATATAGAAAATAACCTTTTCTAAAATATGATGAAAGAGCCAAGAGGCTAACAAATACAAAAATCAACTTGAGAAACCTACACACTTGATCAGAGGATAAGGGTACTATTTTGTAAACAATTACGAAGTATTGCAATTCAGTTTTACGTCACTTGGAATGAAACAGAGACATTTATCCTTTTTCACCAGGGAAAAAGAAATTAAAACTAAGGAGCAAAGATTATACACCAGATCTCAAACTGGTTGACCAAGAAGCCTGGTTGTTTCTGCAATTAAATTTCAATGTATGAATTAAACTGTGACAAAGATTTGAATTTCGATCTCTTACCTCTTAGTGAAGTGCTTTTTCTTGGCCATTTGTGAAAAGGAATATTGAGCAATGAAAGCACTGCCCTGTCATAACTTACCTATGTCTCTCCCTACAGAAGGGGAATTAAGCCACAATCTCTGTGTTAGGTGAGTTTCCCAATACAACTGTTTTATCATCTTCAGTTATTAATAAATAAATAAATAAATAAATAAATGGATCTGCTTTAGTTTTAGCTGCTTTACCAATTCTTTCTGCCAGGTCATGGCAGGATGGGTAACAACGTGCAAATCTGTGCGGCAAATACACTGTCAAATGAGGGCACACCCCATCACCAAAATGGCCATTTGGCTTGCAAACACTTAAATATGAGGAACCCAGTACCCAACTCTAAACCAGGAAACTCAGAAGCAATGAAAAGCTAAACCTATTTTGTGAACAGTGTATCTGGCACATGCATTAGCTGGTCATGAGAAATTAGCTTTTCTCTCCATAGGAAACATATTTGTCCCAACTTTGCTGGTAGTTTTATCTATGCCCTTGGGATCACTTTGTGGTGTGAACTTTCTATTCACAATTTTATTCAGATCTTAAAAAGATAATATTAGTCGTGGTAGTGGTTAACATGGTACAAGATGACAGAAAATATCTGCAGATTCTTAACAGCTATTGCAAAGATCAGCCTGAAGTCTTACTGTCTCTTAGGATTCCTCTACAGTTTCACGATTGTCCTCTCACATTTTTTTCCCTTTTCCACTTCTTAAGATTACTGTTAATATGACTGCAAGAAAAATGTGCACTACAGAAGTCTGAGCTAACCAAAATGATGTTTTAGCATAAAAAGCACATTTATGTGAAGCATGTTTTTCACCCACATAGAGCACCTAATTAATAATGGAGTAATAATAATAGCAGTAATAATAATAATATAAAAAACCTTAACATGTAATATATATGCAAAATAAATATCCTTTGTTACACCAGCTGATATAGCTGAAAAAAAAAAGAATTGCAAAATTTAAAGCCCAAAAAGCCTTTCATTTTAAATAAATTTAGAAAATTGTGTTGTTAGCACTTATGACAATGATTACTACTGTGCTTAGACCAAGGATAAGCTGTCCCAGAATACAAGACTTCAAATTTTCCAGTCTAACTAACCATCTAGGCATTCAAATCTTTAGTTGGCATGCTCTGCATATTACAGATCTATACATCTCAGGGATGATATCTGACAGCTTTGGTGGAAATGATACATCTTATTCCAAACATCTGGTATGTTGTATATCAAATCTCTCTTAAAAAGGCAATCAGCAAAACTGATGTCCAGCTTTATGAGTTCTGAAATTGAAGGTAGAAGTCACTGAAGACAGAGGGTGATGAGGAGAGAAAACACTTTACCTAAGTATACTGAGAAGAGAACAGGATGTCCAGCAAGCTTTGGGAATGCACTTTTGAAATACTTTTTGATCTTTACAGTGGTTAGGACAAGTAGGTGGAAACCTTGCTTCTGCAAAGCAAATGTACTAATTGGGAGGACATGGTTGAGAATTTCATAGTGAATGGAAACTCAGATGATGATGACAATGAAATGAGAGATTTCATGGAACTTAATACAGAAAGAAAAATCATATGAAAACATTAATTAAAAAAAAATCATATTATATACTGCAATAAATAGCTCTTTTATTTGAAAATTGTATTACTGGAAAACAAATCTGGAAGAAATTTGGAAAGTATAAGACAGCAGTCAGGCCGAAAGATGAGCTCAGTATACCACTCAATCACAAAGATCAAAAAGATGAATGCAGAAGTTTACTACAAGCTCTGACAGATAAAATTAAAGGAGACACAAAGATGCAACAACAATCAGAAGCCATAAGCAGCAGGAGGAAAACCTGGAACTGGGCTGATGTGCCACTCAGTGGAGAAGAAAAGCTATTGACAGTGGATGGCAAAGATATGAACTAAATTTTCACATCATTTTTTATTTTAAAATTTAACTGAACTCAAACAGTTATGACAATTATTATCAGTGACAGAGGAGAACACCTCAGTCTCATAAAACCAGAATGGGTTAGAGAGCTTAGTTAGATCTAAATTACAGAAATAAACTCTCTAGTGGTAATGCTGGTGAGGCTTAGAAAGAGATTGCCTGAGAGATTGTGGAGTCCTTAAGAACACATTAAACAAACATCAGTCAGAAACAGAAGAGACATGTTAGGCCTTTTCCTATTTTGGACAGAAAGCCTTTTTGATTTCTGGAATGACACTGAAACTCAAGAAGTCATTCTAATTCTTCAGTCTAAGTACACCTATATATGCTATTGAAATTGGAAACAGACTGCACATCAATGCAAAATTCTGATAGCTTCACCAAATGGTGTTCTTTGCCATACTGGATGTACTTACTTTGTCGCTAGCTTAACAGAACTTAATAGGGACTAAAAAGTACTAATATGAGGGTCTAATGTAAGACTCGACTGTTAATTTGGGAGTAAGAGTTCCTTCTTTAATTCATTAGAGTATGTTTAATTCAGCTTCCACAGAACTAGTGAAATCCATGGTCACACATTATGCTAATATGAATGTCTTGGTACAGTTACTAAATATGCAAAGATAGAAAGAGATGGGGAAATGCATTGTGTGGCCTAGCGGTAAAGGACTTGATACAGCTCCCTGGTCCAAAGAAAATCCACTTGCGTATGCATTGTTCAACAGATCTAAGAACAAAGAATAAAGGAGCTCCTCATATCTGCAAAGTCTCCAGTCATTTTGGAAAGCTTGTGATTCTCATCTGAGAAAGGGAATGAATGAATGAATGAATGAATGAATGAATGAATGAATGAATGAATGAACGAATAAATAAATAGTTTAGACTTGAATCTGGGTCATTTAGGGACAATTCCCTCATTTTGGTGCCTTAGAATTTTTAATTCTTAGTAGTACTCATGATTTACTCCCTTTGCTTTTATTTTATTTTATTTTCTTTCCCCACACCTCAGAATGTTTAGTCTTAGCTTCATGTGGATAAGGGCCAGGAAAGAGTTCAAAATCTCTAGAGGCTTTAAAGGATTTCTCACATTACGATCCTTCCACATGAAAAATGGTAACAGGTTTACTTTAATGCGATTACCCATTATGTAACAACATATATAGTCTCTTCTGCTTTATTTTCAGATTTACCTTCCTCCACTTGCTAATATTGATGGTTGTTCAGACATACACAGTATGTAAACTGCATATGAAATGGAAAAATTTCTGTGCAAGAAAAGCTTGTGGAGGAAGTTTCACAAAAGATAAACTACCAAGCTTCAGTCTTCTGTTATTGAAGCCAGTGAAAAAAAAGTCTTACTGATTTCACTCAGCTCCCTGAGAACAGTATCAAATTTGCAATAGAAAAGAATAATTAAAAATTTACATTCCCTAAAGATCACACATCCTAAGTGTAGGAATGAAGATAACAGTCACACGCATTAGCTCTGATATTTATCTCTAGAAGCATATCATGGCAATTACTCCCACATACTAATAGAACATTGATTTAAGATTCTCATCACACATCAAAACACAGAACAATGCAAGAAGTTTAAAATTCTGTGTAAACCTCCTCTCAAAGATGTAACTAAACTCCCCGCAAAGTCATTAAGTTATGGGGAAAAGAAATATGTCTGAACATTAGTTTTAGTATTGAGTTATTTTAAGTCTGAATTATTGAGAAACAAGGTACTTGTCCTGGGTTCAGCAGTAGCAATCATTTTTCTCTTTCATGGTAGCTGCTGCAGTGCTGTGTTTTGACTTCCAGCCGGTGAACAGTGTTGGTGATACCAATGTTTTTGGTTGTTGCTAAGTGATGTTTACCCTGACCAAGGACTTTGTGAGGCTCATGCTCTGCCAGGGAGGAGGGGAAGCCAGGAGGAAGCAGAGATGGGGCACCTGACCCAGGCTAGACAAAGAGGTATTCCATACCACAGCACTTCATGCCCGGGGTGGGGGGTAACTGGGAGTTACCCGGAAGGACATGGGCTTCTGGGTCGGACTCGTTTCTTGGCAAGTGGTATTGTATTCTCTTCCCTTGTTATTTTCTCTTATCATTGTTGTCGTTGGTGGCAGCGGTGGTGATTTGTGTTGTACATTGGTTGCTGGACTGTTCTTGTCTCAACCCATGGGAGTTGCACTTTCGATTCTCCTCCCCATCCCTCATGGGAGCAGGGAAGGGGAGAGCCTTGGGGGGGGGGGGGGCTTCGATTGCTCTCAGCCCAGCACCACTCACTGGGAGTGAGTGAACAAGCTGTCTGGCTAGGGTATAAACCACAACAGTTTATTTTTGGCGCCCAACGTGGGGCTTGAACCCACGACCCTGAGATTAAGAGTCTCATGCTCTACCGACTGAGCTAGCCGCCAAAAATAAACTGCTGTCTCTGCTTCCTCACGGCTTCCTCTCCTCCCTGGCAGAGCATGAGCCTCACAAAGTCCTTGGTCAGGGTAAACATCACTTAGCAACAACAGAAAACATCAGTATCACCAGCACTGTTCTCAGGCTGGAAGTCAAAACACAACACTGCACCAGCTACCACGAAGGAGAAAAGTAATCGCTACTGCTGAACACAGGACAGTACTTTACTAGACAAGTTGTGGGGTTTTTTTTATTGTTTTAGTTGTGTGTTTTATCACTTTGGTAATGCTTTCCAATGCCTTCTGCAAGTTCTTTCCACTACTGAAACTCCAGATCGTAACTTCACTTCCCTTTCTTACCTGAAAAAAAAAGGGTTATTAAAGAAATAATAATAATTAGGTTTTGGACAATCAATTAATCTTATTCTGACTGCTTTCAGTAGAATCTCAGGAAAGGTGAAAAGTCAATTGCTGTGATACCTTAATAAATAGCTCTTATGAGGGATCTTCTGTAGCTGCACTGAATGTCAATTTTGTGCAAACAACAAAATTCAATTCAGTAAATTGTTATCTACCATAAGGTATTTAATAAGTTATTCTTGGCCTCTGTGTGATTAAATTGCTACTGCAGATCTGAAGTGACTGTCACTGCTCTCTGCCTTCAGATATTTACACAGGATAATGTGCGTGATTTAATAATAAAGTCATACACATAAAAAAATATTGTCACCCAATTTAAAAAAAAAGTATTATTATCCAGTTTAAATACACAATGTCCAACTTGACTTTATCAAGATGCTTTAAATGAATGTGATAATCACAAACACGCATGTTATTTCAAATTGTGCCTCATATCCAGGTCTTTTGTGTGTCTTCTGGATAATAAGTGCTATAGCATGTGAAATTGCACTTGCTTCTTACATTTATATCAAATTTCTAAGCTTTGTTGAACAAGATGATAATCCAACCAGTCCAAAATTTACTTCCTTGCTGCAGCAAGAATATATTTCTTTAGTAAACATTTAAATCTGTATATTCTTTTTTTTATCATTTTATAAGACTGCTTTTTAGGTATTTCTAAATACTTTCTCCCTTAATCCAAGGAAGTGTGTGATGCATAATTCAATATTGTGCTAATCCTTACATATATGAGTAGTGCTGACTTAAATACTTATGTTTATGTGATTTGCTGCACTAAACTAAACCTCTAGTGACTCTAAAGATAATGTTCTCAGTAAATTATTTCTCAGTGTCAAAGCTTGGAGGACAGGTATTGGAATACACTGATAATTATGGTAGTTTAATCAATAATTCATATTTTTGTTGATATTAAGAACTTTCCCAGTGGAAAGAAATTAATAATTAAATTCAGCTAGGGAAACAAGTCTTCCAAGACTGTCTATACTCCACAGAGTTCTCCCGCAGGGAAAAACTCAAGGCACCCACACCGGCTTTGCATTCTGAAACACTCTCCTAATAACAGATTCTCAACTCTTTTAGGCTGAAAATAGTTTCTGTGGACACCCTGACCCCAGCTCTAGAGGAAAGTTACTAAATTTTGAAACTGTAGAAATAGTGCTTGGACCAGGATCAGGCACTTCTGTAAGATACTTTCTCCTTGAACGTCCTAGACAACCAACATAGCTTCACTAAGGGCAAATTTTGCCTGCTAAATTTGGTGGCTTTCTACAACAAGATGACTGCATTGGTGGATAAGAGAAGAATGACTGATGTCATCTACCAGGACCTGCGCAAAGCATTTAACTCTTTCCCACATTCCATCTTTGTCTCTAAACTAGAGAGACATGGATTTGATGGATGGATGACTCGGTAGATAAAGAATTGTTGGAAGTTGGTCACACTCAAACAGTTGCAATAAACAGCTCGATACTGAAGCAGAAATCACTGACGAGTAGTGCTCCTCCGGTGTCAGTGTTGGGGCCAGCATTGTTTAACACCTTTGTTAGTGACATTGAACAGTAGGAATGATGGCATTCTTGGGAAGTTTGCTGACAACACCAGACTGGTGAAAGGAAGGAATGCCACTCAAAGGGACCTTTAAAGGCCTGAGGGGTGGGGCCAGCACAAACCTTAAGAAGTTCAAGAATGTCAAGGAGGCCGTTAACCCAGGAAGCTGGGAAACAGCAACGAGAAAAAAACAACAAAGGAGGAAGAGGACAATTAAAAGCAAGGGGCTTCCTCCTAAATATGTTGTCCCCACCAAGAACCACTTTGCTGTCATGCAGGGGGCTGATGAGAAAACATACCCGCACCAGAAACAACCAGCTAGTGCACTGCTAAAGATCTCTACTGGTGCTGCCAGGAAAAAGCAGCGGGTTGTAGTAGTAGGGGACTCTACTTTGAAAGGAACAGAAGCATTCATCTGTCAGCCTGACCCAGTCTCAAGGGAGGTGCGTTGCCTACGTGGGGCATGGATCAGGGATGCTGCAGAGAGGCTGCCTGCTCTAGTAAGTCCCACGGACTATTAGCCACTTCTGGTGATCCATGTGGGTGCTAGGGATATAGATAGCAGCAGCCTGGAGAACATAAAGAAGGACAACAGAGCCCTGGGAGAGGTGATCAGGGGCTCTGGAGCTCAGACTGTCTTTTCGTCAATTCTCCAGGATACAGGGGAAGACCCTAAAAAGGCTAGGAGGATTGGCCAGGTTAATAAATGGTTAGAAGGGTGGTGCCATAGTCAGGGATTTGGGTGTCTTGAACACGGGACCCAGGTTTGTAGGCCAGGTCTAGTGGTGGCTGGTGGAGCTGGTCTGACAAGGGGAAGAGCAACATCAGTAGGAGGCTTACCAGACTGGTCAAGGATGCTTTAAGCTAGATGTGTTGGGGGAAGGGGGCATCATTCCATCCCAACACACCCAGTCAGTTGCCAACACCTATAATAAATTCTTGGAGCAATTCCAGCCTCTGCAGCCAATGAGCCGGCTTCATCTGGAGCTCGGCTCAGATGCTTCTATACAAACGCCTGTAGCATGGGGAACAAACAAGAGGAATTAGAGATGTACGCACGTCTATGGGAGTATGATATAATGGGCATCACAGAAACATGGTGGGATGGCTCCTATGACTGGAGTTTTGGAATGGAATGTTACAGGGTCTTTAGAAAAGACAGGCCTGTCAGGTGGGGAGGGGGAGTTGCCCTTTATGTTAGGGATAGGCTGGAGAGTATGGAAATCTGTCTGGGGACAGGAGAGCAGTCAGCAGAGAGTTTGTGGGTCAGGGTTAAAGGGAGGACAGCGATGGGAGACATTACTGTGGGGATCTGTTACAGACCGCCTGATCAAGGAGAACCTGCGGATAAAGCACTCCATAGACAGACAGGAAAAGCCTCACGCTCACAGGCCCTTGATCTCATGGGTGACTTCAACCACCCTGACATCTGTTGGAACGATGGTAAGGCCCGGCACAAGCAATCCAGGAAGTTCCTTGATTGCGTGGAAGACAACTTCCTTCTGCAAGTAATAGAGGAGCCGACAAGGAGAGGTGCCATGCTTGACCTCGTGCTCAACAACAGGGAAGGGCTCATTGGAAATGTGATGCTCCAGGGCAGCCTTGGTTGAAGCGATCATGAGATGGTCGAGTTCGAGATCCTCAGGACAGTGAGAAGAGCATGCAGCAAGCTCACTGGCCTGGACTTCAAAAGAGCAGACTTTGGCCTCTTCAGGAACCTGCTTAGTAAGGTTCCATGGGATACAGCCCTAGAGGGCAGAGGGGCCCAAGACTGTTGGCTGATATTCAAGGATCACCTGCTTCAAGCTCAGGAGTGTTGCATCCCAACCAGAAGGAAGTGCAGCAGGAGGGCCAGGAGACCTCCTTGGAAGGATAAGGAGCTGCTGAGGAAAATTTGAAGGAAAAAAGAGGCTTATAAAAGCTGGAAGAAAGGACAAGTGGCTTGGGAAGAACACAGGGGTGCTATACGGGAAGCTAGGGACCAAGTTAGGAAAGCTAGGAAGTTAAGAAGGGATTCTATAGTTACAATGCAAATAAAAGACAGACTAGGGACAACATAGTCCCTCTTTGGAAGTTATTGGGAGAACTGGCTACACGGAACTTGGAGAAGGCTGAGGTTCATAATGAGGTCTTTGCCTCGGTCTTCACTGGCAAAGGCTCTGACCATACCACCCAAGACTTGAAAGGCAGATGTAGCGACTGTGAGAACGAAGACCCTAGGCCCACAGTGGGAGAGGATCTTGCTCAAGACCATCTTAAGGACCTAAAAGTGCACAAGTCCATGGGACCTGATGAAATCTATCCACGGGTCCTGAAGGAGCTGGCAAATGAAGTTGCTAAGCCACTGGCCATCATATTTGAAAAATCATGGCAGTCACGTGAAGTTCCTGATGAGTGGAAAAAGGGAAATATAACCCCCATTTTCAAGAAGGGGAAAATGGATGACCCAGGGAATCACAGACCAGTCAGTCTCTGGGCCTGGCAAAATCTTGGAGCAGATTCTCCTGGAAGGCATGCTAATATGAAGATAGGCTGAGATAGCTGGGGCTGTTCAGCCTGGAGAAGAGAAGGCTGCGTGGAGACCTCCTAGCAGCTTTCCAGTATCTGAAGGGGGCCTACAGGGATGCTGGAGAGGGACTCTTCATTAGGGACTGTAGTGACAGGACAAGGGGTAATGGGTTAAAACTTAGACAGGGGAAGTTTAGATTGGATATAAGGAGGAAGTTCTTTACTGTGTGAGTGGTGAGGTACTGGAATGGTTTGCCCAGGGAGGTTTTGAATGCTCCATCCCTGGCAGTGTTTAAGGCCAGGTTGGGCAAAGCCTTGGGTGCGATGGTTTAGTGTGAGGTGTCCCTGCCCACGGCAGGGGGGTTGGAACTAGATGATCTTAAGGTCCTTTCCAACCCTAACTATTCTATGATTCTATTCTAGGAAAATATTTTTTAAACAAGGTTTTTTTTTCATGCTTGTTTAGCAACATTCCCTACCACCCCCCCCCCCAAAAAAAAAAAATCCCTCCGTGAGACTACAGGTAGAGATTTAT